AAGGTCCTAAGAACAGAAAATAAGCTGATTCTCGGAATAGCTAAGCTTCTGTATGATGCTCGACTGGCTAAGCTAAACCTGTCCCCTTTGTCGTATCGTAGAACTAGAGGCGACTTGATTGCAGTTTTCAAATTGCTTAGTGAAAAATTTGCACCTGATATGCCTTCATTTTTCTTGTCTTCCAAAACAGAGAATTTAAGAAGGCACTCCAAAAGCGTTTACAAGCCCAGAACAAATTACTTGTCAGCTGACTATCGACTTTCTCATCGAATCATCAACGAGTGAAATTCATTACTTCAGCACGTGGTTGAAGCTCCATCCGTCGATTCTTTCAAAAGAAAGTTGGATCAACTGGGAAAACATAATTGCCAGAACTAACACTGGCCATCAAGCCTCCTGGCTTTTCCAAAATGAAACTGAAAATTGGTTCAAATAGTTGTGGACGGAATAGAAGAAGCTTTCGCTTAACAGGCTTCCGTATCTAGTAGCAGGGGATCACCAATACCTCCAGGCAAGAACCTAGGTATATTAACGATAAAAGAGAAAAAAAGAAACTGGCAAATCATAGTAAAATACTATCCTTAGTCCTTAAGAACAGATCAAGTCGCCTCTTAAAGGACTCCTGGGAAGTTGCTCGGACTAGCTCAGCTGGCAGCGAATTCCAGCATTTGACAACTCTTAAGGAGTAGAAGTTGTGCCTGCAGTCCGTTCTACTATGTTGTATCTCTAATTTCTGGGTGTTACCCCTTAGGTTAGTGTTGGGACTAAGCTTAAGTAGGTGTTTAAGAGGATGTCCAGGAGTGTTAAGGATACTGTAAGCCATCAGAAGGTCACCTCGAAGACGCCTATACTTCAATGGGTAAAGGTCGAGTGATTGGAGGCGCTCATCGTAAGGTTTAAATTTGAGTCCCCGAACTGATTTCGTGGCTCGCCGTTGGATACTCTCCAGAGTGTCCTTAACCTTTTGTTGTGTAGGAGGGAATAATATGTTTCCGTACCCTAAATGTGGATGAATGAAACTATTGAAGATTATGTGGAAAGTTCCCCCGTCAAACTGACCAAAAATGCGCTTCAGTGTTATCAGCGCAAGGTTCGCTCGAAAAGCATTTTTGTCACAGTTGGCGTAAGACTTTAGGTCGTAGGGCACCAGAACTCCTAAATATTTTTCGACTCGGTATACTACTAGAGAGGAGTTTCCTAAGCTATAACTGTAGTCTGCGACGTGTCGCAAATGGACTACTTCATACTTTGAAGTGTTAAAGGTAAGTCCGTTGTCGTCTGTCCAACTTTGAAGTCGAGTCAGATCCTCATAAAGTGACTGTATATACTTTTGGTTGCGTGTCTCTCACCAAAGTTTCACGTCATCAGCAAAGAGCAATATGTCTGACGTTACCTGTTGAGGAAGATCATTTATATAAATCAGGAAGAGAAGAGGTCCTAGTACTGAGCCCTGGGGGACCCCACTAGGACATTCCATAGAGTGTGAGAAATTAAAGTTCACCTTGACTGTAAAATGTCGATTTGTCAGATATGAGCTGAGCCAGTCAATTAAAATTGGCTTGATACCCAATTGTCTGAGCTTATTGATAAGACATATGTGGTTAACCCTATCAAAAGCTTTAGAGAAATCAAGGTAAACGATGTCCACCTTCTCCTTGCTATCAACGATGCTTGTCCATCTGTCCACCGCAGTCAGCAGGTTCGTCATACAGGAGTAACCCTCCCTGAAACCATGCTGTTGGGGTGAGAAGAAATTTAAGGACAGCAGATAGTCGTGTATACCATCGTATACCAGGGACTCCATGATCTTTGAAGGTATAGAGAGAAGAGCTACCGTTCGGTAAATTGAAAGTTCGCTGCGTTGACCTCCTTTGAAGATTGGGGTGATATGAGCCAGCTTCCAAATATCCGGTAGTTTGCCCCGACTTAGCGAGTGTGAGAACATCACGCTAAGCGGTGTTGCCAGGATTGAAGCTGCTTCCCTCAGTATAGCAGAGTGGACCATACCTGGACCAGGAGAAGTGTCTGTTCTTAGGTGCTGTAGTTTACGGAGCACCAAGTCAACGCTCAGTTTCACTACGGAAAGTCCTGTGCAGTTGCAGATGAAGCCGTCATCAGTATAGTTGATGTGAGTAGGTTAAAATCTTAGAGAGTATTGCTCAGCCAGAAGGTTGGCGGCGTCACCGTCATTATCGGTCGGGCCGTTAGGACCTAGCAGTTGAGAAACTACAGTTTTGGCTTGACGAAGAGAGGCTGCATAACGGAATAGACTTTTCGGATTGGAAATAAATTTATCCATAAGCTTTAACTGGTACTGAAGCCTGTCTTCCCTTATAGCCTTCATGCATATGTTCCTTATATGTTTGTATTACCTGTACTCGCTGTTGTTGTCGGTTCGTTTGTATTCTGCCCAACAGTGCTTTTTACGGTTTAACAAACGAAGAGTGCGGTTTTTGATGACTGTAGGTTGCATGTGGCTTGTGGGGACCGTTTGAGGGACTGACTGCTTTGTAGTACATAAGAGCGTGTGCAGTAGGAAGTTCCAGTGAGCATCCACATCAACTTGAGGGTGAACATCCCAATCCACATGTTGTAGATAGTCCTGTAGAGCTGACACATTCAACCGTTTGAAATTCCAGCGCCTGTTGTCGTTGGGATATCTTAGCACAGTTTCGCTGACAAAACTGAAGGCTATAACGGCGTGATCGCTTTTCCCCAGGAGAGCCAGAATTGAGAGGTTGTCAACTAGAAATTCTTCGTCTGTAAAAACACAGTCTAAGCGCGATGGTGTTTGACTGTTCCTCTAACGAGTAGCCAACTTCACATTTTTGTGTAATCCCAAATCCTCAATGAGGTTGAAGAACCCAGCTTCGATTGAATTTTCACCTCCAACATACGTATGTTCCGCGAAGTTGACTCTAGGGAGATTGAAGTCCCCTAAAATCAGGATATGAGTGAAGGCGAGACGCGTAGAGCGGGATAGTCCTTCCAGGATGCGACTGTCATACTCGATGTCGGCAGTGGGCTTCCTATATATGACTCCGACTAGGCACCTCGAAGTAGTGGAAAATCTCATAGAGCACCATATGGATTCCTCAAGATTGTCAAACTCATGGTTGTGAATTTGGTGTACCTCCAAGCCAGATCGTATGTATAGGGCTACTCCACCCCCAAATCCTGTTTTCCTGTCATTGCAAAACAGAGACATCCCAGGTATTGCTAGCTCCTGATCCGAGAACTGAGAAGATATCCAAGTTTCAGATATTCCTATCAGATGAACATTATTAGCATTGCTAAGTCCACGTAGCTCATCCATTTTATTTGGTAGACTCGCGGCGCTCATGTATAAGCAGTTTATGCTTTCATTTTGAAACGCGTGAGCTTCTTCCTGTTTTTCTGTGAGAGCCTTACGTGAGTGGACAGGTAACTCACCTATATAAGTTTTGTCGAATTGGTAGGCCCTGTCTTTCACACGTTTTTGTATCTTGAAGACAGTCCACAAGTGGAATGGTCAGCTCCAGCTTGCCTTTGTGCTTGATCCTGGCGTCATATGGCCTGTCCGGGTGCATGTGGATCCCAGTTGGCAACCGATGTCTATCGGCACGAAATTCTTCCAGAGCTGCAGCCGCCATACAGGAGGATGGGAAAGTTATTCTCACTAGCCGGGGTCTAGGATCCCCGTCCTTCTTGGCTAGTCTCGTCATATGATGAGTCAGTATGTTTTTGAGCCTCAGGGACTGTTTGATGAATTTCCATTCTCGAATGTCAGAGTTTGCTTGACTAGGGTCCATGTTTTCCGGCACACCTTGCACGATGATATTTCTTCCGCGGAAAAACTTCTCTCGAGAATCCTTAGGGATGTTCCGGATGAGATCGCGCTCAGAAAACGGTATGTCGGGCAGTATCCTGACGTTCCCATCGGATTTCAGTAGATGACTAGCTAGCAGGACATCCTCTACTTCGGTAGCATTCTTGAGTGTTACACGAAGTAGTCTCGGGTGATTATGATGCTTAGATTCCTTTCCTCGAGTGAGCTGTGTGACTGTCAAAGGCTCTATTCTAGGAAGTCCGAGCATTTTGTTCAGTTCATCCCAGAGCATCCTGTCGTTTTTGTCCTGCAAACTGCAAGGAAGATAAGGGTTGTCTATGAGGTTCATGATTATGAGAGAGTCATAACGGACCGTTGCTGTTTTACCAGGTTTTCCGATGCATGCAGGTTCAGTACGTTGTTGTTTGGAGGTCGAAGCAGGTTTCTGAGTCGTAGGCTTTTTGATAACGGGCGGACGTTTTGAGGGTAGATTGAGCAATCAAATCACCAGTTGATGTCCGTACAACACTTGGGATGTTAATCTTAGACGGTGACACCTGGTCCTTTTTAGCTCTGTTGGCGTGGGTGAAGTCACCTGCAGAGTTTTTGGGAACCACTATTGCGTTTAAGGACCCTGTACTGGGAGATCCAATTTTAGTGAGGGAGTCAATTACCGTCGACGTAATGATGGTGCTGAGTTTCAACATGTCATCATTAGTGCTTATGCGTGCTCCATCGATGGTAGACTTATCGTCATCCCTATTCCTGTTTTCGTTGCGCGCCCTTGTTTGTCTACCTATTTTATAGCTATCTTTTTACAAGTTTGCTGACAATTTATTCCGCAGACCTGTCAATAGAACAATGATGTTGCTCAGCAGTACTACAGTATCCGTGCTGCACGTAACACACACCCACTTACGATCCGATTTGCTGAGTCTATTGTAAGCAGTTGCCGTGAGATCTGTGCAGATATTTCATTGTCTCTGACAAAATTTTAATGGCCCATACCAAATAAAAAAATAAGAAAATTAAAATACGGATATATCTTTTAATATAAGCATTCGTATTTAGATGTTACTTCCGAACTATGTTTCTTTTGTTGAAGTACACTGAAAACCTTTCTAGTCCTTGTTCGTAAATTTAAGCTCAAGGTTCAGCTCCTCTTGCCATAGTAATTACTTGTCGTTGGCTGATGATTAGGAGAGAATCACTTTTACACTTAATAATTCTTCTTGCTTACTCGTTAGCGCAGCCAAGTGAGGAACGTGAAGGATGCTTTTCTCTTGTAAGCTCAAATCGTTTCTAATGCTTTGTAGTTAAGTGGTATGGTGGATGATATTAATGCAGACATCCAGAAGATAACTGGTTTCAACAATTTGAAAGTTTTGCCTCGCATCAAAAATATTTTACAAAAGGATTTCTTCCACTACTTTGAGGTACCTAACTTTTTAGTCATTACTATTTGATTACTTTCATATGTCCTCATAAGGAATTATTCCCTTTGTACTTATAAGCACTACAACTCAATAGTGACTTATCGGTAATAAAATTATGGGTTTTATTCTGATCTGATATTGTACCTTGTTAAATCCAAGACGCCTTAACCTATTTCTGTTATCCTACGGCAAGGTACGAGTTGATCTGTTGCTGGCTTACCGTATACTGAATCATTAATGTGTCGTATCTTTTCCATCCATCCACGACTGACCAAGTCACTTCCGTTAATTTAGTCAATCAGCATCATAGACAATTGAGACGTAAACGTGCCTTACATTAAGGCTTTCAAAACAATTCCATTCAAATCCCACTCGAAAGACGAGTCTATCATAAAAAACCGTTTTTTAATCCTAAAGTTCTGCAACTCTCCAATGACTTGAATTTTCATATCTTATTAACTGACTAGTACGTAAATGAGTAAAACTTGAAAACCGCCGCTAAAACTTACGAAACAAATTAACTTCAGTGTTCTAAATAATAAGTCACTAAGTGTCCATTCAGTTGATATGGGTTAGTATCATCAGTCCTAAAAAGTATTGAGCGCTATGTGAATCGCCTCTGAAATCGGTAGATCTGTAGTCTAAGTAACCATCCTTTCAGTTACAAGTTCGGACCTGTTTATTTCGACTTTGTCAATCGGTTAGTATCACTAGCATTCCTTGAGATTCATGACTTCAAACCAGGTCGATAAGATCGTTCTTTAGTGTTGAGTCGAAATAAATTATTTTAAAAAATACTAGTTGACCTAGTGTAATGGTGGAAATCATGTAAGTTATACCAAATTTAGTCTGTGTGTTGACACGATAAATTTTATTTGATAACTGTGTTTGGCAGGATTTTTTTCACATTCCAACTGTTCATATGTCAAACACTGTCAGTGACTAAAAAACTAACAGAAGCGGTCACTTCGTGACATGCATTCTTACTTACAATTTAGTTAAATGCATAATCTAAGTTTTAATAATTAGACTCCATAATTAAGATATGGTCGAAATGTGTGTGGATGTTTTACTTTATCATCTTTAATAGCTATGAATTTGTATATATTTTATCTGTATGGATTGTTTTAGGTTAATTTGGAACGCGGTTGCCCTTTTTTTGACGATGATAAACGATGCCCATCATCAGATTGTCGAGTTAAGGATTGTCCAGCTGAAGAAATACCTTTGGGGCTACGTGAAGATTCGTTGGAGTCGTCACCTCACCATAAAGTACGATTTACTTGTTTAACTTTACCTAGTAGTATTCAAAAGAGGCCAACATGTATCCAGAAGAAGAAATCGACTGTGGGTTGGGGAAGTTGGATAGTTCCTTAAGGTAAGTCGTTTTTACCGTAGCTCTTGTTTTCACAGTTCTCTAATGGTTTGTCACATAATGAAGAGAGGAATTATCAACTTATGCATGTTCACAGAAAGTTTGACCGGAGTTACCAAATAAGGATTAATTTGTCTAAAAGGAAGCGGTTACCAAATTGTTTCAGTAAGACATCTGCCACAAGAATTACGATAATGTTAGGAAGCAATTAAGAACTAATAATTCTTAATAGGTTGTCTGCGACGTCGTGTTTATGTATTAATAGTATCGAGTGCCAATTCCATCGCGGTTTCAGTGTAATTATAATAATCTACGACCAGGAAAAAAAGATGAAAGCAGTGAGTATGGAGTAATAGCATCAGAAATTACTGTGATAAGTCTGCCGTAATATGTGTGCTAGGTTTTTTAATGTCTTACTGCTTTGGATAGATATTATTTAAATTAATCAAATTAACGAGTGATCTTGAAAATGTTAAATATTTTCAAGAAGAGATGTCTAACAATTAAGATCAGTAATGAAAATGATCAAGCATTTACTCTCACTATAATTTCATTAATGGAATGGGATATAGTCACATGCGTAAGAATTTTAAAGGGGAAGTAATCATCGATGTAGCAATTGAATAGTGGTAGTAATTTCATTTCACGGATAGATTGTGACAAAATCTTCTAGAGTTATGAAAATTCACTGGTGAAGCAGTTCATATAGGGAAAAGATTTGGAATAAGACATTTTCACTTCCAAGATAGAGTCATGAATTTGTAGGTATCATTACCGAGGTTTGATTTAATAATTTCGAATAAATTGAGCATTGGGTTGATTGTTATAAATAAATAATAAATTCGTAATATCCCAATGAGTAGAAAATTAGATTTTCTGACGTTTCGTGACTTAGTGTAAGTCACTTCTTCAGAGAATAAATAACCAAATTAAAATTAATCCAAGTTTAAGTAGTACTACTTAAACTTGGATTAATTTTAATTTGGTTATTTATTCTCTGAAGAAGTGACTTACACTAAGTCACGAAACGTCAGAAAATCTAATTTTCTACTCATTGGGATATTACGAATTTATTATATATTTATAGAGTCATGAATGCCATAACTAAGTATTTTTACACGTTGAATTTCATTAGTGAATATTAGAGATACTGTAGTTTATATTTTAAAGGAAAAAGTTAAATCCAGTTCGAATTGTCGCTTCTATAAAGGATCGAGTTCAAGCTCGATGAACCTGATATTGATCCCCCAAATACCCCAGTACCGTCGAGAGTGGGGAGAGTCCGCTCTCCCTCTCGAAATGCTCTCACATGGCCATGCGTATATAGCCTCTGCCAGGAAAGTCCTAGTCACTGCCTTCTCGTGGCGGGGGTGTTGTTTACAAAAATGAGAGGACGAAAAGCGAATGTCCGGCGCTTTAACCGGATCCCAAACCAATGGTGCACATGGGCTCCAGTATCCTGAAGGAACAAATGGCGTATGAACCAATCGTTGGTCACCGGCTACCATGGGACCGCATTTCCTTACGATGCTCCACTGCCTTGTGAGTCAGACGTTCAGGTCGAAGGCTCGGGGTGTGGCCCCCTAAGAAAACTACCTGCTTCGTTTTGGACACCCGGGCAGTATCACAGCCCTCACACAAATCAATTGAGATTCGTGTGGCGCATATATATTTGGTGCCTCCGTGTACCAATACCTATGTGTCAAAATAAATAAATAAATACTGCCAAGTGACTTGGATTATGTCTAAGATTTTTGATGAACAATTTTGATGTTAATTTTTTGAACTGTACACTTCAGATAAAATGCATGTTGAATCACAGATAATTTTACCTGCCATCTCACGAGCTAAAATTTTCATTTCAATATATTTTAGTGAAGAACGTAAAACCATAATTGCCAATTGGACTCGTCATGATGATGAAGATGAGCTGACGTTCTGTGAACCTGATGGTAAGAAAAGAATATGTAGTCTGACGGTCGAATTCTCCAATTTATAGGCTTGAATTCATGGGTTTAAAAACGAACTAAAAATAACAAGTATTTCACTTGAGTTATCTAGTTTTATAATCAACAATTATATACTAGTTCAATATATTTATATGACTACATAATGTAAATAATGCTATAGCAGTTCAATTATCGGGTAACTATAAATCTAGACTACTTATTTAGGCGTGCTCTTAAGATGTAGCCGATTATCCAAACACTGATTGTGAAATGTATTGTTCATCATTAACGAAGAGTTTATTCATCAGTGTATCTGTTGGTCATGTTACATTCATCGCACCTAATTATATCACTTTACTGTTGATCAAAAACTGTCTGTTGATATTAGCTTAAAATAATACATACACTGCATTTAAATCAGTTTACACTCACTTGTTCGTTATGAGCAGAATGTGTTTTGTTATTGAATAGTAAGATGCATGCTTTCTGTTTTTTTGTGATCCTCTCAGATAAAGCGTCTGCCATATGGTTCATCTGCGATTTGATCTTTTTAAACTTGATCCAGGGAAGTGATGAACGTGTTTATAACTCATGAATCATGTAAACGGCTAATATATTGGGTCTTAAATCACTTTTTGTTTAAATGTAAACTTGACTACTCGAGTGGTGAGAATGATAAAAGATTAGGTGTCTTAGTTGCATGATTTTCTGGTTGCTGCGGAGTAATGTATACACAAATGTACACTTTTCTGTTTCCGTTTCAGACGATAGCTCTGGCAAAATGATTTACGTAGATTTACTGAAGAATCCTGAACGTTATACTGGTTACAAAGGACCTGCCTCAAATAGAATATGGTATATGGTCTACAATGAGAACTGTTTCAAGTATCTTTTAATCTTATAGCATATTTTAACCTAAATTTCTACTTTAGTGAAGATTCAATAACTTATGGGACAAGTTACCTAGGTCCAAGTAAGTAAACTTGATTTCTGTCATTGTCAATGTCATTTCCTCAATTTGTTCATTAAATTAATTTACTCAATTTCAACATGAATCAGTATGTTCTTTTTTCGTTGCTAAACGATCTAAATTTACCCAACATGAGCTAATTATTGTTTTTAAAGCGTAGTTTGGTCAACATTTATCTGTTTGCTAAGTTAGTGTAAGTTCTGAATCTCATCTGTGTATTGAGTGCTGAAAGAAAATCAGACTTTAGTTCATGATTACGTGGTAAAAATGAGTTTGCTTGTTTATAGTAACTAAATCACTTAAAACTTGATTAGATGTGGTTTCAAGAAGGAAACTTATTGGTTCGGCTGAAAACAGTTGGTCTCAAAAATTGCAACGTGTACTCTTCAACATGAAAATAATTTTCCCCACAATTCTAGTGTTTTTATATGAAATTAAACACAAATGGTGATCTCCTTACAATTCAACAAACTGATTACTTAGTAAAATAAGCTCATTCTCTTAGCACTATCACGAGTTGTACAAGGTCTTGACAAAATAGGCACCTATATAAACTAGCTTAATCTAAAAATTTTAATCAAATACACGTTCACCAAAAATCAATACTCCAGTCTTCGAAACATTTCATCAGTTGTCCTGAGTGAAAGATGGATTCATTATTATTTGATTGTCGTTTTCTGTGTCTACGAGCACTAGTGGCAACTGTTTGTTTTACTGTTTATGTTAAATTGTTTTGCGGTTTTATGATATTTTGAACGTTAACACTAAAGCAAAAATCATTACCAGTTATCACACTCTTTGTTACAGTTCTTGTCGTTTTTGTTATGCTCAGTGCATCAGATATAAATTTACTTGTCGTACAACTAGGGTTGGTAATATCCATATTTAGAATACGAAAAATATGTAATAATAGAATTGATAAAAAATATTGATAGTACAGTGTAAAGGATATCAATTATCTTGAACGTAGTTTATGTTACCTATTACATTACATACGATTTAATCATACATATTTATTACAGACATCGAAGATCTAGGCACACTATAATATGATAATAAGACAAAAAATTAGTGGTTAGAGGCAGTAGCCAAGAAACGCTGAACCTAGGTTTCGCCACTCCTTAGCAAGGTGTATCTGGTGTCTCCTGGCGGATTCGATACCGTGTCACCCAAATTTACTGTCTGAGATTGCCACTGAGCAACCTGATCGACTAGTGTTAAGAAGGGCCTGATATACATGACACTGGTCATTACTCAGTGATCAGTTTATTGTCAGATATAATATTTACAAAATTAACCTTGTATTATTTAGGTGGTCTTGATATAAGAGCAAACCATTTTTGGACACTGATCACTGCCATTGGCTGAATGTCCGTTATTTTTCGAAGGTTTGTATACTCATTCAAAGGATTGTATTCTGATATTAAATAACAGACAGACATAAACTATGTCAGATCTAGCACTGATTTGTATCGGGCGGTGTTCTCACTCTTCATAGGATTTCTTGTATTGTGAATAAAATACACCATTTTAGGAATCAAGTAATATACCTCATAGTCGATAACAGTGTTGTAGATTCATCAGTTATTACCAAAGCCATCATCTCTATCATATTTTGACTATTTTTAAGGTGAACAACCTCATATTCATATCCACTGAGTTCGTTGAGTATAATTGATGTTATTAACCTATTTCTGTTCATGCTAGACTTTCTGGTTTTGGATACAGGATTTGTTTTAAGCGATTTAAATAAATTCACATAGCTTTGTTAGTGTCAACTTAAACCAAGGATTGATGAATATTTATACAATTGATTTATCACTGTGTAGTAATCAATATTTCATGTTTGTCATGTTCACCAGTCCTGTTCAAGTTCTCTTAGTCATGTTACAGTACGATCACTGGTCTAAGTAATTCGACATCATGTACACTATTTTGAGATGTTAGATAGTTGTAAGTAGCTAATAAAAGTATGTGTTCTGTTAACTTATGATAAACAATATGGCTTGACTGCCAGTAAACATATACTGGAACAAAGCACTTTTCACCGTTTCGTTAATTCGATTGTAATCCTATTTCGGTAAATTCATGTGTTCTGATCATACAATCATATATTTTTCTATCGGAAGAATTTCGTTGTATCAGCTCACTAGCTATATCTGTTGATATTATTTTAAAAGCAAATTTTGCATCACGTTTTGAGAAATAAACTCAGTGTTTAAAAAAATATATGAATTGTATTTCTTTTTTCTTCCAACTGTCCTTTTTGCATCTTTCTTTATAACAGTGTCGTAAGAATTTTTCCTTTAAAGAAATGTCTTTTCCATGCCAAGTATTTTGTATCCTATGTTTTGTGTTCTCCCAAATTCTAATCTTCTGAATTCTTCATGTCCCTTTTTGCTCTTTCTAACTTTATTTCACTGGATTATACTCCTTGAATAACATCTTCAAACTCTAATCTTTCCGATAACTGCTTATACTCTTACCACCTCTACTACTACGGGATTTGAATCGACAACTGCATCTCTGTGCTAATGTGGTATGGTAACTTGAACTGATGTACGTACGTACGAAGTCCCACGTTGTTACTGACTGACTGACTGGTCCTATGTTTTATATGAAATATTTATCAAATGACATCCATATAAATTACTTTGACAATCCATTAATCTTAAGTTCTCATGGTTATTTTTATATCACCATGATGACTAAAACTTCAATAACAAAAAAAGCAATTAAAATAGTGAAAATAAAAGTCAAACAAAAAGCATGAAAGGCAAATATAATAAGACAAGAACAACACTTAACAAAAAGTATAAAAGCAAAATAATCTCAAAATTAATTAATTAACCAGTTTTTCTAAAGATAATTAGCGAAAATCGTGAATATTGTCCAGATTAGTTGTTAAACTATTAGACCATAATCTATAACAATTTGTCTCTTTTCATCTTAACAGCTTTATTGATCGACAATTTCAATCATACATAAGATAGATACTTTTAAGTTTAGGGTACCACATGGATATGTTATTCAATATTATGTGCTAATTAGTTATAATTATGTGCTACTTTTTCTCATCTCTTGATAATCATCAGTTTATTCTCTGGATTTTTCCTTTTCAACTTTAGCTTTTTTCTATATAAATAATCATTTTCATTTGATTGTGATTTTGCTCAATTTTTATGCTTTAGTATAAATAGTGTTACTGACATAAAAATAAGTTGGCATTAACGTGTCGTTATCTTATTGGTTGATTAGTGTTTATTGATTTCATAATCTTGTTGACCGAAGGATTTGCAGGGCTTTATATATATATATATATATATATATATATATATATATATATATTCGTTGGAGCTTATTAGTTCTTTCTAAAATAGGTTTTTATTACTTTTTGTGATGTGCTTCATCATAAATATCACCTGATAAAAACCTTATGAAGAGAGGTGTATAGAATAATTGGCTAAGTTACATGGAAATTTTTCGTGCACATTCTTATTATATTGGAATTAATTATTTCAGGCCTTTAGATAAGCATCAAGATTTTCAGAGATTTAGATTAATCTCTAGGATTCAGATAGTTTAAAACATCTTGCTCATTTTTGGATGGTAACAACAAATTTTATTCATTCTTAGTTTGATGGTATAATAATGAACTTACCATGAGCACAATAAACTCCAAAAGACTATTTGACTATATATATATCACAGGCATTCTGAGACTGTAAACCACTTATTATGTAGTTTCTTTTCATCAGTTTCATTATAATATAAGTAATATAAAAGTTAAGTAACATGACCTACATAAAAGTTCCGTGAAGATTATACGACAATAATACCAATTATTGTAAAAATTTGAACTTTCGTGGTATTGTAGTGAACAGAACACGATTATCCAGTAATTTTGTTTAGAAACAGATTTTCTAAAGATTGATATCGCTTTGTGACATTGGCGCTAGTATAGTGTATCTGGGTTATTTATGACAAATCGATTTCTCGTCATTGGATTTCTTCCATCTATTTAATAGGTAAAGGGAATATAGTTACTATAGTTAAATTAGTCTTATCTGTATCACTGCTATTACTGTTTCTGCAGCTAACATTATTTCATTCGTTTTTCTCCCAATCGTTTAGATTATCAAAATGCTTTGGGTACTATATGTATTAGTGATGGTATATACATGTATATTATGTATTTATTGAAAACAAGATTGTCGATGTACACGAATTTTATCCCTTGCATTATTCATTTAATTATCTATGGATTTCATGGGAAAATAGTCGTGTTTTTAATTCATTAACAGATGTTAAACATTTTAATCACTTTCTAGTGTTTTGTTTTTGCCTTTTATTTCGTTATTCGTGTTTATTATATTTTTATAATATCCTTTGTTTTTCGTTTGGTGTTTTCTCTCGTTTCAATTTTGGTGCTTTTTATACCTGTTATGCTTTCTTCAATTGGTTAGTTTTTGTTGAATGTTGTGTTTTTATGAGATAAATCACCTTTAAGCTTTTATTCTTCATATATAGCTACTAATCAAAGAGCGATTAAATAAGTATCACTTCTGCCTCTACTTAATAGAAGTCTTAACCTTGAGACATTTCTCTTCACCTTATTCCACTTGTGATACTTTCTCATCACATAATTCAAACACCATTTCTCATTTTGTAAGATTATGTATATGTAAAGAAAATTATTTAAAATCTATGTTATTGACGTTTGGTTTCGTCCTTACTCTTGAAGTGTTAATGAATTTTGTATGAATACATACATGCTCAATTCAATACATACTCTGAGGTGTTGGATCTGAAAAAACTCAAGGAATTCATGAAGTATTGCGAGGACTGTTTACGAGAATAACTCACTGGATAAAACTTTTTAAGTTAATTAGTCGTTCAAACTAGTCACATGAAGGTTCCAAGGAACCTACAATTTCCAGAATTATCGCTAACTTGTGTTGATGAAAATATTGGAAGTGTACAGTCTCTTGTATTTTTCGATCACTGATAATTGCTGATTAACTGGGTTTAGAAGGATCACTTTTGGTGCTTCCTTATACCAATATCTATGTGTTCAAATAAAATAAATAATAACAAAAATAATAAAGACGTGAATAGCCTAGTTTTTGGTGACTTTCAGGGGTATTCTGAAAAATAAAATGGAAAACGACACAAGTGTATAGTCACAAATTGCGAATATTTTGAAGGGCATTCTCTGTTTCAACCCCGCACTTTTTTTATAATCTCATGCATGCCAGTTTCAACAAACACACTTTCTTATACACTACTATTTAATATAGGCAATATCTATGTTATGTTGAGTTGAAATACTAATGTACTTACCTAATGAACTTACCTGTATCTGAATTGTAGATCATTCATAAAATTCAAACTCCTTGAGTTCCTCACATTTCATATTAGTTTTGTGATTCCATGAATAATAGCAGTACTCTTAACGTCACCGAATGTTAAACTATATCTTAATAACAGTATTGGACTTTCGATTTACATCTTTCTCATCCGATCTGTTCTTTTAATTTTCAACAAGTAAATAATATTGGTACTCTCTGCTAGACCTAAAATTATTGACGTCGATTTTTGTATGAAGTCACAATTGCACACTATTAAATAGTAAATAATAGTACTGTTTAATTTTCAATTATTTTACAACGCTCAAAACTCTTACTCTTACGTATATCATTTATTTTAAGTATATTTTTAAGCAGAGATGGGTGGTGGTTAACAGTTTAATCTAGGACGCGTGTGTCATCCTAAAGAATGTTTATAGTTTTGTTGTTACACAAAGTCTAGTGAAAAGGGTACAGCACATTAATTAATTGTGCAGCTATTTTAACTTTTCTTTTCGCCATATATATTAGGTCAATCTTCATGCCTTGAAAAGCGCGCATTTTATCGAATGGTGTCTGGGCTGCATAGTAGTATCAGTGTTCATTTATCTTATCGATATCCGTTAAGTCGTAAGTTTCTATTTTTAGCAAACTTTTTTATGTTTCTAGTATCATAAACATAATTTCACAACGTCGAATGATATTGAATTGTTCATCTCATAGAATAATAATGAATTTTTTTCAAATTGTTTACTAACTATTACAATTACTGCACTATCAATTTTTATTAGTATCTGGCAGATTCTTGAGAGCATCAGACAAATATTTATTTACAGAAAAACGAAATCCTCAATTATTTATTTTTGATCATAATCTAAACAAGGAGTGATGAACTAATAGTTAACATGCTCAGTTAGCAATCGACAGTTTACAGGTTCAAACTCCACTTCATCTAATCCCGCTTATGTAACCACGTAACATCACTATCCTTCTCTCAAACAACGGCATAGGAACTGAGTACAAAGATGTTTATATCGTAAATGTGTTGTATTAAGTATCAATTAGTCAAGCATCGGCCCAGTGATTAAGGTGTCCAACTTTCAGTCATTAAGTCACAGGCTCAACCCCTGTCTCACCTACATCTGTTTCCATCAACTGGGTAGTATCGCTAGCCGATATATTTAGAATGCAACTCGAAGCTAAGCTCATGAATCTGTACTTGGTAAATAAGTTAATAAGAAATGACTTCATCAAGTCTATGTAGATAAAAGACATTCACTTTACCTAGAATGTTCATCTTTCTTGTTTTTATTCCTTATCCTTAGTTTTTTCACGACATCAACCAATATCTCGTGATTATGATAGTAACAATCCAGGTTGGGGTCCGAATTTGGAGGAATTTCGTCGTCGTTTTGATCCATCTATTGTACCAGATGGTTTAACTCGATTGCGCAATCTTTATTTCACTTATTTGGTGGAATTACGTGCTTTAGCTAAAGCTGCACCTTATTTGATGAAACAAACTTATTTCACAGGAGATGAGAAAATGGATAAGGAGACTAGATCTGTTGTTACAGATTTTCTACAAATAATTCAGTAAGCTTTATTTAATTCGTCTCTTGTTAACTTTTAGGTTGATTATCATAATAAAATAAAATCTGTTTTGGATTCTGTCGAGTAATCATAGTAACTAAGTTTTTTTGTATGAATAACCCATCATCAACCAATAAAATAATTTCGGTTTACGACTATAAAATCTGTTAAGCGTTGAATTCAACCATAGTTTTAAGTAAAAGTACTTCATGTTTTCCCTGTCAGCTATAAACTAACAGTCATGAAAATATTCATAACTATAAATCCTAAAACATTGAGAGTTTACTTATTTAATGTAACTTGTTCTATCTTACTTATAGTGCTCTATAAGTTAAAATTATATGAACTGTAATCTTTATCCGGACTATGAAACTCAATGACTCAACTAATTATCCTCTGAAAAAAGAGAGATAGTGTTTCTTAATCATGTGAACAATAGTGGACTCGAATTCTTTATTCACTGTTCAATATTTAACACCTACATACTGTCCAGATTAAGATATAGTATCATTTCATGAAATCACTGACTTTTGCTTGGGGCCATGTAAGAAGATGCTAGTGTGTGAATCAAAGTCTTTGAGGACTTGGGCATGATAAAAGTGACAATTTTGTTTATTATTTATACCATATGACTTTAAATTGAACTGTGTAGTTAGGTGCAGACCACTTTGTTGGAGTCCGCTTGATTATCTTAACTGACGGCTGGAGACATTAAGTGACATTTTACAGAACCGGTCTCAATAGCACAGATGATTCACTCTTTGTCCCTAAAATACTTATACTTTTTATTTTAAAAATTCATTCTTGAATCATATTGTCTAATCTTTTTTACTACCGCTGATAACGATGCTATTTCTATTACGTCTTTCGTCTTGACAATTTAATTTCACTGTGCTAACGTGGTGTGGCAACTGGGATCGATGTAAATATATGCCATGTTCTACATTGTTTATAATTAATTGATATTTCTACAAAGTATTCTGAGTGATCAAGTATAACACCTTAGCTCAACTTCAAAGATTAGTTTCACGACAACGTTAATTTAATCCGACAGTCAACCTATTTTACTTTTATGTAACTTTATATCCTGAAGTCTAGAGATAGTAAAAATACTTTTAATCGTTGTTTTCTTTCTCCTATTCACATCCACTTATTGGTTATAGTTTTTTTTATATTCTGATTGCTTTTACTCCCTTTTGTGTTATTGAGATCTCTGAAAATTACAATGAAACACGTATTTTGGTAATGATTTTATAGTTTCATAAGTGTTTATCTATCAAGATTTCAGTATAATATGGTCTATCAAATAACACTTAAAACAAAAACTTCAGTATAAACGGAAAATACTATTGAAACATGAACAGTAGTAGTATACTATCAGTTAACTTTATTTTCACAGTTTTGAATCATAAATTGATTTTAGCTGGACCACGACAGAGAATCTCAAAGCACTAGATGGCTGTTTAGTCTTAGTACAGGACTCCTCAGCAGCGCTCACCCATGAACCCGTGTCCGAGAATCGAATCTAGGACCCCCGATCCCACGTGCAGACGCTTAACCTGTAGACTACTGTTAGATACCAGCTTGGTGGTCTAAAGATCAAGCGTTTTCGAGCGAAACCGAAGGTTCTGGACTCGATATCTGGACACGGGTTCGTGGACGCACACTGACGAGAAGTCCCATACTAAGACTAAACAGCCATCTGGTGCTTCCAGGTTTTCAATGGTGGTTTAGCCAAGATAATTTCATGATTTAAAACTATAAAAATTCCACAATCTCCACGAATCCCCTATACTAATATTTCTATTTTATCAATTAACCTTACACGCCGTTCAATAACAAACAAATTTAGTCGTGCTGAGAAAATTAAAAAATATTTATAGATGAGTATGAATTGTCAAAGGGAAAAACAGAAGGAACAATGGAAAAACTGAATAAAACTGTACCAATGAGTGACTTCAAGTCGTTTCATATAATACTTGCATTTTGTTAATTTATACACTGTGTTATTCAAAACAGTTAACTAACATAATTAGTTAGCATGTTTTAAAGATAATCCTACTACACTGACAATTCTACCTGTTATATCCGAGCGAAGATTAAATCACGAGTAACTTCTGAGACATTAATTGACTAATATTATCTATATATTCTTACGGTGTAATTATTTAATAGTTAGATTATGTATATTTATATTCCCCTTATCATAAGCTTCACTTTGACCTATAATTTATCATTGTACGATTTACTGTCCCTAAATTATGCTCAGTTTATTAATTACTGTCTCCCACATTCACAGCCACTTTTTGGCCTATTTGTGTACACATGTTAGTTTCTATTTTATGGTACGTTGTGGTCTGCCTGATTGATATATAAACCGAGTATGTCTGAAATAAATGATTTGGTTCGATTTTGGTTGATTCGGAAGCTGGTATTGTGTTCTGGACTCAAGAGGACGGGTTAGAAGGACGTAGGACCCAATAGGACGCTAGACTGCTCAGACCGGTTGAACGTCATTGGTCTTGTCATAGTGCGAATATTCGTATAAGCCGTATTCTGATTGGTGTATAAGTCACGTGATCGTAAGCCGGACATCAAATCATAACACTACCTATCCATTATTTCTGATTTCAGTAAAAAAAAAGAAAAAAACATTTTTTTATTTCATGTCATCTTAGGATTAGGAAATCAAATGTGCATGATAATTGTTTTTTCTCTTTAATAATTGAAATATTCCTATAGCAGTTTTATATCGCCAATCCACTTTGTATTTTCATAACACTAGAAATGAAGGCAGTATCTTTAATGAACATCTTTTATTCACTGGAGATATTAATGAAGCTAATGTGTTAAAAAAACAATTTCGTGAACATTTTCGCAATATTTCACGTATAATGGATTGTATTGGTTGTGAGAAATGTAGATTATGGGGAAAATTACAAGTGAGTTACGTTAAATTGATTTTCTCCAAAAAAGACATTCAATACATGTTATATTTTTTTCTATGTATCTTTAATTTGAATTTAATACACGGGCATAATTGAAAAACACAAATTAGCAATCATTCAGAAAAAAGTGTACTAAAATTTTATTTGTTCATTGAGACATTTCAAGTAGTTGAATGCACGTTCACACTAATCTAATTATAAATCATACATACATGAATTATTAGTTAATGGTAGCTCTGATCAAGTTATACAGTTTAATTACCAAGTCGAATCATCCAATATCATGAATTATTTTGGTTAAGCATTGATTGATCATGTTTACTAGAACTAACTGTTGGAGTGGATCAAGAGCTTATGCATTTCAGCCAATAATGTTTTCATGAAGTTATTTATGAAATGTCTATCCTTCTATAAGAGATAGGTGAGTATGTACGTAGATTCTGTTACAGTCTTTTCATTACCTTCGGTTTGACGTTTTATGGCAATAAAAATTTTTTAGCATGTTGGTTATTTTCCCGAATTGAAACTGAAAACACCTAAATAATGACCGACGTGGTAAATCTCAGTAACTTTAAAAAAAAATCTTGCCAATCTCATCCATTTATCTAAATAAATGACAAATCATCACTATTATCTTATACCGGCTGTTAATATTTGCTGAATACAACCTTTGTAGTGTTACATTATTTTAAATTTAAGTATTTTCAGACCACAAACATCTGAAATCCGGCAATATTTATTGATTTGTCATCATATAAAGAATTTACATAAAATATGCTTTTAGAGTTGTCTCGAACTTACTGAAGTTAAACATTGGATACCGACCAAGTGTTCTAAGGGCCAGGCGATCACACTCAAACCTGAAGGTCCCAGGTTCAAACTCTGATGGGGTCATGCATACACACCGCTAAGGAGTCCCATACCAGAACGGAACAAATCTCCAATCTTACCTAGTTCATAGTGGCTGTTTAACCAGAATCAATTCTTGATGTAATTTAAAAAAGATGTCTGATTTTATTGGTATTTTACCTATCATGCAATTAATTTTGAACTGTTTTCGATATGGTCTTACCACTCCTTAGAGTTTGATTTGTTCCTCTTGTTTTTCTTTTCATAAAATGATGTAACAGTTTTCTTGACAATTTTAACCAGTACACACCTTTTGTATTGACCGATGATGATTCTCCCTGATTATACTAAACCGTAAACTAAAACTATTGAATGCTTGTATTATTGCAACTTATTTACCAGGTATAGATTCTTATAGTTAGCCTCAGGTCACTCTGAGTGTAGGGCTTAGTGATGCTGCCAGATTAATCACCCAAAAAGGGTGAAACGTACTTCCGTGATTGCACTGCTAGCCATAAATTCATCTATTCTGTGTTGACTTGTAAAATGTGGCTGTATCGGAGCCATCCGTGCAGGATTCACATATGCCAGGAAAGACTGAACAGAATTCAGTCAAAATGAATAATAACGGATAATTATTATCTTTTCGAATAATGTTTAGTTACTTGATTTCTTGTCTATGCTATCGCTAAATTACTCTAATCATTTATTTCAAAGGTAGTCGAGTTTCAGTGAATGATTTTGTAACAGTTTGGTTTTCACCGTTTCTAATTCTACATAAAATTCACTTCCAGACACAAGGTATGGGTACTGCTTTGAAAATTTTGTTTTCTGATACTGTTCGTAAAGGGAATCCTTTAGATCAATCATCTACTGCCGAACCTAATTTTCAACTGCGAAGAACTGAGATAATTTCCTTATTTAATGCATTTGGTCGGTAAGCGTAAATACATTTAATGTGATAAGTTGATAATTTATATCCTATTTAATTACTTTTCACTGATTTTCACTTATAAATTAGAAGTTTTCTAAATATTTTCATACAATTTTAGTCAAACTCATCATTCTATTTCATAACGCTTCTCATCAACTGAGCACAAACGGTAATATAAACGAGATTTTGACATAGTTCAATTAAAAGAATTGAAATTGATGTTGGAGATGGGACAAAAATCTTAAGAACAAGAAGACAGATATATTGGGCGAGATTATAATTTATGGACGAACCAGTCACGTATAAGATAATAGGTTTCGGATTTTAGCGCGAAATTCACTCATTCATTTGGATAAATAGTTTTGGCATTATAGCTAATGTCAGTTCGGGATGAAAACCCTAAATCTAATTTCTAACCTTAATCATCAACTGTAAATCGTAATTTTAATTCCTCACAGGTTTATAACGCTCATTTGGTCCTGATTACTAGGTAGACACTCTCAAGGTTAGTCTGGTGACGCTCAAAGGTCGTTCATAAATTATAGTCTCACCAAATATTTTTTTAAAAATCATAGTTGAGATTGCTGAATATTTCTGTTAAAAATGAAGTTCTATAAAGAATGGGTTTTGGTTGTTAATAATAATGTTAAAATGAAAGAAAAATAATTGATTATATAATCATTTCTGATCATTGAAATAAAATCTATATGATGAATGAAATTCGATGAAATTACCTCTGTACTTTCAATGCACTGAAACTCTTCACTCTATCCTACATTTGTTGCAACTAAATTATTAATAGGATTATGTCTCACAAATTTATCGAAGTATATACTATGTTGTTTTTTCTCTCATCCCCTCCCCTCTAGTCTATCTACAAGTATTGGTGCATTAGATGATTTTTGTGAAATGATTCATGAGTCGCAAAAACAGAAACGTCATACCGCATCAGGATAAATTGATGACACAGTATGTTGGCGATTTTCAACTTACCTTCATTCTTTACTGCTGTACTATCGCTGTTGCTGTCAAAGCTACAAATATCATCATACACGCACTACTGTTTGTCATTCGTGGTCTTTCAAATTCATATTATTCCAGTCTGTTAGCACTGCTGTAGGAAATAGTGATATATAACTGTTACGTTATGTATGCACATGTTGTAAGCAACTTTTGTCGTCATAATCTATACTGTTCTGTTATTGTAAATTATTGTATACATTTATGTTGTTTTCAATTTGCATTGATGTAGTTTCTTCCTGCTAGTTATTTTATCTTCTATTATATCGTAAACAAATCTAAAGAATGGTTTAAGTGTACGTTCATTGGTTTCTTTATTCATCGAAAAACTACCTACTAATTACTCATTTTTTATGATTTTGACTGAAACTAAGTTGGACAAATCTTAATGATAGTGTTTTTGTCAATCTATTATTAATCGTTCCCGTTTAACTCGAATATTCACCCCTTGTTTTCCTTCTGTTTCTTTTTCATCATTAATTGTATTATCTTTTTTGTTCAGCATTTTATAAATAATTCGTCACTTCACTCATAAATACGATTTTTCTTTTCCCACCCATACATACTCCAACATGTGTCGACTGTTTTTTTTACCTGTGACATTCTCGCTTTGTAAACCGCACATAATTTCCTGGACAAATAAATTGTTCATGTACGAAAAGTTTCAATTTTTATGGTACTTCTCTTAGACACGTATAGAAAATTTGGATGAGTCACTGTTTCATTATTAATGTTCTAAATGTACGATCACGAACGAAGATCACAGAAAGAGGATAATTTTGCAGTCGATATTTGTATTGATAGTCCGCAATTAAATATAAAATATTTAGACAAAGCAGTTATTAGGTGATGACATATGTATAAATACCAGTCCTCTACAGTAGGTCAGTCGCTTTCACATTGTCTCAAATACAATTCCTTTGTCTGGTACACTAACTTAAATCCCCTCAAAGAAAATCTGCCTTCTTAATAAAAAGTCTTGGTACATCTTTCGGACAAGTTTTATCAGGTTCAGGGCTTCTTGCAGATTATTCCCAAACAAATTTCTCAGCCATATTTAGACCGATAACTATCAGTCATACTCAACGTAGGACTCGGCACAATGTGCATCGGTTCAAGTTGCTATACGAAATTAGCACACCGAGATAAAATTATTAAGGCTAACATCAGTGTAGTAAAAGTAAAAACAACTAGGTATAGACGATATGGTTCGAGAAAAAAATAAATCCACGGAACAAAAAACTTTAAAGAAGATTTTGAAACCCAAGCTCTGGGGCTAGGAAAAGTTTGAATGCATTTGCTACAGTGACTAATTCTGGGTCATGTCAGTCGCACCTTCAAACATTAGTTTAAATATTTGTACGGACTCAAACGAGCTAGTCTGAACTTACCAACACGGCTCAGCCAACCTATCAGTCAATTAATGGACTGAAGCCACATTTGGTTTGCCGCCATTACCACTCGACTGTACTCCGTACAATTGTTTTAGGCGTTCACGTAGATCAGTTCTGAAGCAACATTTTTAACTGAAAGTACATCATGGTCCCATTTATTTCGGATATAATCTCAATAATACCACACCCTTAAATATCTGTCTCTTTGATAAGTCTGAAAAGTCCCCTATAGCGCCTGTCTTCATCTTGTTTTCTTTCGCTGTCCACCATTGCTCACGATTATTGCGTATGCTTTTTATCAGTTCAGAGTTTAAGCTGTCTTCGTTCCTCATCTTGTTTAAAGTCTGATAGGATGAGTTTCCGACCAGCTATCAGTTTGTTAGATGACAACAAAATCCTTTCATGTTACTCAGTCTTTTGGTTGACTTTACTGGTAGATCTCAGCTACCTAGATATCATTCCAACCTATATCCATATCGATATCGCTTTTATGACCGTCTGGATACTTCTCTAGTTGTCCCTGAAATATACTCTTGACTTTTTCATCTTTAAGCTGAACTCTACTGGTCTTCCTTCTGTGACTATCTAAGTAGAACCACTATTATCTGTTCGTTAGGCTGCAACATCCTAACCCCCTACTTAGTACCTGTTAGTTTAGTTTAGACTACATACCTAGAAATTAGAATCCCTGACTATGATTAATACATTTAAGTGTTTAACTTATTGAAGAAGACCAGAAAGCTCTTTTTACAAATCATCTTTTACCTCATCCAAACTTCAGTCACTGGGAGCATAGACAGGCAATGGCGTGTGTCCTTTCATAGTCCTTTCTGCTTCGTGTATTTGGATATTACACAAGGAATCCACTTTAGGGGAGCAGATTCTACTTTTGTACTTAATACTATATCTACACCAGCAAAGCCACAAAAAGTAGCAGCCAAATCTCTAAATGTACTAAGAGTAATTCGTACTTGTTCTTAGTACCGACTATGTGACGTCAAGTGAATAACCACACTCCAACCCTATATGGGTATTTTGAAGACGCAGTATATATAATTGACACGAGTATTAGCTAAGAAGGCCAACTCGATTCGTTTTAAGGTTGGAACATTTAAAACACTAGGATATAGTTTAGAGCATGGTTTTAAAAGACTAAAATTAACATTCGGTGAAATCAAACCGTTAACCTTGGTGGCTCATGAGTACAGAGTCGAAATCGTAGGAGAAAAGTTGGTAGTGAAAATTGAAGGGATATCGAGAATAGACAGAGGAATTTGATAATGAACAGAGTGATCTCAAATGCTTGTGGAAATACAAGGGCGGTTGTTACTTGTCAGTTGCTTTAACAGTAGAAAGACAATACTCCTCGAGATATCTGAAAAGATAATTAGAACAGCAGTAGTCTTAGAGACGTGGGATCAAACCTCAAATAACAGCTCGCGGTTGGTCACTTTCGAGCTTTTATTGGACGGTTTTTGATATGTTAGCTCCATTTTTATAGTGCCTCATCACCATCAAAAACTATTTTTAAACCCTTCTCTAACTGACCTACCTGATATGATTAGACTTAAAAGAAACCTGTATTCCAGCTAATATATCTCGAATGGGTGGTCAAGATGTGTAAGACAGACCACCAAATCAAAATAACACTTATAATCTAGTCGGTAAAACATCAATAAAAATATACCTTTATTAATATAGGCACTGGGAATATCAATCAAATAGCTACGCAAATGTGGAGATACAACATGGTGGTCGTCGGAATCAGGGAATCCCATTGGAATTAAGTTGGACAGCATGACCATCAGACAAATCAAGAATGGGAAAACCAGCAGGATCTGACAATATACCAGATAAAGCAATGAAGTTAGACACAGAGTTGCAAACATACTCCACGTATTTGAAACAAGGATATCTCATCAAGATACCAACTTTCATTACTAGGAAAAGTTTTCAAAGTGTTGTTGAACCGAATGAACGATTCAGTAAACGCCCAACATCGATATCAACAGGCTGGATTCCGTAGTATCGATCGTGTACCGACTAAATCGTGACACTGCGGATCATCGTCGCACAATCAGTTGAGTGGAACTCGTCACTATACATCAACTTCACTATGTGGATAGAAGAACCTTGTGGAACCATCTTCGACACTATGGAATCAGTAGATGAGAAGATTTTCAACATCATCCGGAATTCATACGACGGACTACAGTGCAAATTGGTGTGTGGGAGACAACTGACTGATGTATTCCAAGCAAGAACCGGAAACACACAATGTTGCTAACTCTTCCTCTATTTTCTGGTGGTTAATTGGATTATGAAGACCAAATCTGAGGGGAAGCACGGAATAAAATGGATTGGTTTGATGCAACAGATGACCTATCTGTACTATCCCATGCATACCGACGAGCGTAGGTGATGACAGATAGTGTAACAGCAGCCTGTGCAGCAGTAAACCTCAATATACTGAAAGGAAAGAGCAAGATTTTGAAATACAGCACGGAGAACACCGGCCCTTTCACACTTGATGGAGAAACTCTGGAAGGTATGGAAATCTTCACGTACCTAGACACCATCAGATGCAGATGTAAATGCAAGGATTGGTAAAATAAAACCAGAATTCCTACAACTGAATAACATATGAAACTCAAAACAAGTGTATGCAAGCCAATATCATAGTCAAAATTTTTAATACGAACATCGGCAGAGTTCTATTGTGCCGAGCTGAAACTTTGAGAACTACTACAACCATCATAAGAAAGCACAACTATTTATGAACAGTTGTCTATACAAGATAATTAATGTCCGTTGACCGGTTACCATTACCAAAAATCTTTTCTAGCAGAGAATAAACCAACTTCCAATTAAAGAGGAAATTAGGAAAAGACGATGGAGATGGACAAGACATACATTGTGGAAATCGCCAAACTGCATCACGAGGCAAGCCCTACCTTGTAATCGTGAAGGGGAACGGAAAAGAGGAAGACCAAAGAACACACTGAGTCAAGAATTGGAGGCAGACATCGAAAGAATGAATAGCAACTGGAAAGGATTGTTCGGAACTGCGTTAGATCGAGAATTCTGGTGGGTGGCTTATTCTCAAGTATGAGGGTTGAAAGGCGTAAATAAGTAAGTATATGCATGTTCATTAAGTACCTTACATGATGTGGTTTAGAGGACCAGTACATCTTTGTGTGAAACATTTCTGATAAGAAACACGATAAGAATGACATGTTCCGAAACCCACTATTTTTATGGGAAAGTACTTAAACATGGGTTGGAAATTAAACACTTTACATTAGCTTATGTTCTATAACTTTTAAACGTAATGGCACACTGTGGTACAACTTGGTACACACAGAATTCATTGACGAGAAATTAGACGAACTTATTTTATCGAATCTCCGTTACTTCTATTTTTAAACTAATTTGTAGTTGGTTGTATGATGATACATGAAAATCCCAGTAACATTTCTACGAAGTGAATTTTTTTCAGTAATAATACTTCTGTTTTGTAAGGCTCAATTTATGTAATGCAGAGTGACTTGATTACACACACTTATGAGAAATATTAGACCATAAGTTCGTGATTAGATCATCTATGTTAATTTTCAGATCTAAATCGATTGTTTTGTTGGCAGTAATTTTGATATTTATAACTTTCTAGGAATTCAGAGACTCTTCTTACAATTAAAATCCAATGAAATCTTTTAAAAAATAACTAGAATACAGATTATCTGAAATTTGTTCGTTTTGTTAAATTATTACACTCGAAATATTATGAAAATTGATATTTAGTCTTTAAAATTGATTGGTACATTATCGTGAATCGGCGAACACATTCAGTATATTTTGAACTACTAT